ACCTGAAAGATAAACAGCCCACACCAGTTGTGTCTTTAAAATTGATGTGAGCTTTGTCAATAGTGGTCTGGTATTTTAAGACATGCAAATGTGGGGCATAGCCAGTTTTCATGTGTGTTTTTGTTGCTATGTTCCACACTTCCTGACCTTGATTGTTCTCTCTCCCCCATTGGTCCATCATTGCACCATTGTTTCCATATTACATCATCATCAATCAGCTTCTCGGCCAATCAGAACTTAGCTTATTCAGTACAGTATATAACTTGGAGGTTTTCAGAAGGAAGGGGCCTTTCATTTGACTGTGGTCCCACTCGGCTCAGCTTTGGTTTCGTTTCGCTTTTGGTTTTGCTTTGGCTTCGTTTCACTTCATGTGTGTGTGTTTTCGTATAGCTTCTGCTTCGTTGCTTTGTGTTCATCTCCTTGTACTTTTGTTTGTTTGTGTTATCCTTTATTTAGCCATTACCTTGCCCTAACGTTATATCAACCTCTGTGTTCTTTTGTACCCTGTTACTTGTGTCTACTCTCGTTTTCCCTTATTGGTATTCGTAGTTCACTTGTATATTTGTGTGAACTTTTGTGTATAGGGTTAGTTTAGGTTGTTGGGTACATTCTGCACATGTACTGTAGTTGATCTCTGTATTAGTCACACTAGTTCAGTGGGTGAGTGCCGTTTTGTCTTGTATGGTTTTGGGTAGTCAGTGAAGGTTAGCTAGGGTATTTGAAGACGCTGAAGACAGAGCGTTTTGGGTTTTCTTTTGTAGTTAGGTTAGCTTTCCCTCACTTTCTTAGCCAGCTCCATTTTGTTTGTTGTTTTCTTCTCTTTGGCACCACTCCAGTTCCCCCTCCCTGTGTGTTATTGTGTCCTATCACGTACTAGTCACTTCATCACCTTAAAATAATCACTTTTGCACGAACACGTGTTATCACGCTTCCTTCAGTAAGTCCCCCACCAGAACCCACCTGCATCCAAAAACTATCCTAAATGTTGCACCCCTTTACCCCTAGACACTTGGGGACGTAACAGCCAGGAATTGATTTTTGGTCTAACTGAACGTCCTGCCAGCATAGGGGCACCCCTACAACAATTTGCAATCCAATCCTCATGCAGTATAATCAAACAGCAGGATTAGTGGAACATTATATACATACTGTCTGTCTCTCACACACACATAGGTTAAGCTACAATTACATAGGCTTCCGAATGCTACTGTGCCATGGCAGACACACACACACACAAACCCAATCAGTCCCCACCTTTGTTGTGAAGTTTTGGCCTTCTAGACCAGATGCAGGCATTGGGGCTTGGAATTGAATATAGCAACAATCTCATTACTGTCGAGAGAGTCGGCAAGTTCCCATTCAAATGATAGTATAGACAAGTTGTTCAGATGATCTGATGACACTGAGGATTGCAAACACGTCTTGATCTGAATAACAACTGAAAAGAGTCTCTCAACACTGCATGATGTACTTGGAAGCGTGAGTATTACTGTCAATAGTGCGTTAACATTAGGAAAAATATCTGCAGGGCAGTTGTCAAGCACTTTCAAAAAGAGATGAAAACCTTGTCTGTCTTGCTTCAATTTTGTGGTTTATTTGCTGGATAAACACAGTGAATTCTGCATCCTGGATAGATATTCCATATAGCTGGCATGGGGATTCCAGCAACTCTTCAGTGCAAAAAGTATTGAATCCTGGGAGACAGGCAGCTGCAGCACACATGATACCATTCGTGTCCTCTTCATACCTGCTGTTTAACTCAGTAATCTGTCTGTCCATAACATCATTCCACATTTGCCTAAGATCTGTGATGCTTTTAATACTAGCAGACTTCCCCAGCATGGAAGTTAACAGAGAATCTTTCTCTTACGTGAGAAAGTAACATCCTCCTTAGTTAATTTGACTACTTTATCAAAGTCACCATCTGAATTATGTCTGAATTTAGCACAGCTAATCTTGAGATCAATGCAGTCTAACACAGTCAGGGTGGAACTCTGCAACACCTTGGTCGCAAAATCGCTAGTCTCAAAAACTTCAAAAAAGAAGAAACAAAAACATCATTGTCTGAATCTGTTGTAATAAAGAATCTGCTTCTAGTTTGGTCTGGCCATTTGATTCTGAGTATTCAGCAAACACTTCCAATATTGCATCTATCAGTACCAGTACTTTACTGACAGATGCTGATTTTGAACTGATTTTGTCAGTGGATCGCTTCAGCTCAAGGCACTGTCTATTGGGGTGCATCTCTTTCTGAATTTCCATGAAGCGGGAATGCCTTTGGGCCTTTGTCATGAAATTATGTAAGGAGTTTCAAAGAAAGTGTTTACATGTCAAGATACCATGGCTGCAGTGCAGAGAACCAGATTTAGATGGTGAGAACTGCAGTGAATGTAAACATCTTTAGGAAAAGTTTGTTTTAATATCCCCAGTTTCGAGACATAACCAATACACCATCAAAGCAAAATCCAATGCACAGAGAGGGATCCAGTCCCAGCGGCTCCAAAACCTGTAGTATTTTTTCTGATATTCCATTAGAAGTCATGTGTACTGTCTGTAGAAATCCAACTGCCCTTTCTTTGATTGCACCTGCGTGAAAGTAGCGAATACACACTGAAACACGTTTGTGTTTAGACTTATCTTTATACACATCAGCCAAGATAGCATAAAACATAGAACGTGCTTCATGCAATTCAGCCTCTATTTTCCTTAACAGCAGTGAAGCTGTAGACTCCAGTAGCTTGTTCTGTATCTCTGGGCTCATCAAATTAGCATTTGTAGGAAGCGGTTTGAGCCTATTTTCAATTTCTGGGTCATATTTTGTGATAACTTTGCTTGAACATTTCTATAAAATTCCCTTTGTTATGTGACCTTTCAGTTTCCTTGTGCCCTTAAAGTGGAATACCCTGCTTTGCGGGGTAAGACAATGTCCAAAGCAACTTTCACATGCTGGCAGTTTCTCTATAAATGAAATAGCATCCCCCTCCAGCACTGATTTAGCACTGTCCCACGGCCGCACGGAGCATGGCACACCATGTACTGTGACTCTGACTTGCTATATGAAGTGCTATATGATGCTATTTACTGTTCTCATGTTTTGAACAAGCCTGTCTAAAATATTTCCAATTTTTAAATCATTCTCTACTTAACACTAACTCAGTATGCATCTCTGGGAAGTGTCTGCAGACATTGCAGTATACTGCATTCTTAGCTATAATGTATTCTAGCCATTTCAATTGTTCATACCACTTTATCAAAAAACGCTGTGCCTTTTGGCTATTGTCGTTGCTGGGAATTATTGCAACTTGGGTTGAGTGGCTGGTTCGTCAATGGCAGACAAATCTGTTGGTGGTCCTGTCACCGTAGACCCGTCTTTTGAGACTGAAGGTAGAGTCGCCTCAGAAAGTATGGCCATAGTGTTAGCCCCCATCATCTCCACAGCTGTAGCATCTCATGTGTCTTATTATTTGTTTTGGGGCTGGTCTTGTCGTCTTTTTGAAAAACGGAGATATATGCATTTGTTTTGACATGTTGGCTAATGAACCAAAAACCTAGCGCTACTATAGATAGGTCTAAGAGTCTCTGACGACAACGATACCCAATTAGGCTACGGCTACGCATGCACCGCCCCACTGCAATTTCATAATTTTCTTATTGGTCACAAAACATACAGCGAGCCAATAGCAAATTAAAATCAAATCACGTTGCAAATCATGTAACACAAACAAGGAAAAAAAATCTTAAATTACTTTGGACTGATTGGGTAGGCATAGGATCAATCAGGGTGACTGTGCCCCTGTATGAAACCTGCTGAGCAAGATTTTTCAAAACTTACAGACTTCGGATATTACTCATATTATAGCTTTCTGCTACCATGGGTCTAGGAGCCGATACAATAAAAAGTGAGGAAATCTATGTGGAAGTTCTTAACTCAACTCGGGAGGGATAATGACAAACAAGCCGATTATACCCAGCTATTCTAAATTATAATCATTACTGATATTTACTATGTATGTCCTCTAGCCAAACGTTTGGTTAAACCAAATATTTTTATACTTAAAATACTCATTCACAAAACACCTGATGCTTGAAGGTTATTATTTCTAATGAAATCAGTTTGTTAATTTTGTGATGCATTTTCATTTTTTTCTTTTTTTCTTCCTGTTTTTAAAAAAGATAAACTGAGGTATTGTGTGTTCAGACAAGGAGTTGGCCAAGGCCACAAAATTCTTAATCTGGGTAACCAGATGTAATTTTTTGCAGTGATAGTGGTAGTGCACATTATCCTTATGCTATGTTTAATTTTGTATAATTATCTTCTCATTTGGTCTTGGAGACAGAGCAAATCATATTATTATAGTTTGCATTTCTGCAATTAAAATATGTTTCATATTCTTAACTAATCCTCAATTTATATTCCTCTATAATAACTTGCTTATACCTCTGATATCATGTGTGGTTTGTAGTAATGGCTTTGTGCTCAACGACCTCCATTACAAATTGTGGATGCTTATTTTTTTAGGAGCTGATCATGTATGGAATTACCCCTTGGAAATAACAGCTTATTTTGATGGATTCACACAGGTATAGCAAGGTAAAATCACTGCATGTTTTAAAAACTTCCTAAGCTGAAGTAACGCATAACGCTGGATGTTTCAAAAGGAATAGTTTGATTGTGTTTTCTAGTGTGGACTCCATGCAGATTTTTATATGCTTTGCACCGACATAAAGAAGTGAATATTTTTAATCAATGACCATGCATACATATGTTGTCCCTAACATACAAAAACAGACATTACTATTGATGCAAATGCAGACAATATATATACACTTTGTAGGAATCAATCCATGAACATAAAATTTGTTATTGAAATAGAGTGGTCAAATATTTTTAATTTACTCATTTTTAATTAATGAGGGACATGAGCAGTTAATAGCCTTGACATAATATAAAACAATCTGTTGTCATAATGTTTTTTGGTGTGTTGTATATTTTTAAATTGCCATTAACAAGCTTTACATTACACTGAACTGAATCAGAAGCTTTTTAACTCTAATTCTTTGAATGAAGCCTCAGTACTTCCATCTGTTTTATTGTCAGATCATGTAATATTTGGGTATTATTTCTCATTCTTGAGCTAAGAGTCTAATTTCAGTGCTGTTTTGCTGTGTTGTCTGGGATGTGATTTATGTAAAGATCAGTAATTATCAAGATTATTTTAACTATTCTACAGAAAAGCTCAAATTTAAAATACATGTATAGTCTGATTAATTGAGTTTGCAATATTATATTAGGGAGGGATAATACAAGACATATTCAGTTTTGCCTTCCCTAATGTAATCATTGTTCACATCATATTCTAAATGTTTAAACAATATAAGTTACCATACAAAAAACATTTCTCCTTCACATTCATCTTTGATATCCCTCCTCCACCCTACAGTATCTCTACTAAGTTACCCCTTGATTCACTCCTCACTCACCTGAGCATCCTGATCATCTCATCCTATGACTAGGAGGCAGGTTGAGCCAAACATTTCTATGACTACTCAAATATTATTAAATGTATTTAATTATTGGTTGTTGTTCTAATAATTCTTTCTTGTGAAATAGTATTTTTGAGGTGTTCTTAGTAAATTTAATAAATTTATTAAAGTGAGTTTTGATCAACCTTTTTATAGTTTATATTACGTTTCTTGAATTTTATGGATCTGAAATGGCTGGCTGGCATTTGTACGTACTTATACAACTGGACGTTCAATGAAAGAGAGTAAATTATCCTGTTCAAGGTTACAACAGTGCTCCACTCATGCTTTGAACCCAAACTTTCCAGGTATGAGTCCTGATCACTACAGTGTTGCCTATCTTTATTTTTGGCATCATGCTGTCATTTCGTGTTGTTTCCCTTCAGAAACTGGAATCATGATTTCAGCTGAAGTTCTTCCTTAACCTCTAATTGTAGATATCACAGACACAATAAATGTACTTTTTTATTTCAGACACACTCGATTAGAACTGCTACTTTGGTGCTCAAAATTAAAACGAAGCAAATTGAGTATAAAAGATAACCTCTGAATACCTAACTAGATGTAGTTGCAGTTAAGCGAGCTTTCATGTCCCTCTACTAACACTTGTGAGGAGATGCAGTCAGTTGTCAAGGGGGTAAAAGTGAAAAGAAAGGAAATAAAAGCAAAAAAACTATCTCCTCCAGAATGCAGCTGATTCTTGGGAGCTCATGTTCAGGGTGGAAATGAGCACCGAGCAACATTGTGTGGCCTAAATAGAAAGGGTAGCCCTGCAAATCCACTATTACGGTACAGTATATGCAGTGACCTTCCAAGAGGAGAGAACTCCCCATTTTCAGAACCAGAATTTTAGAATAATCTGAAAAACGTTTTCTCTTATTTCCTTATTATTTTTGAGAATCATGCATACCATTTGCCACCTAATACATCAATCTATTTTCTAACTGCTTTATCCAATACAATATCATAGTGGAGCCGGAGCCTATCCCGGCAAGCGACAGACTCAAGGCAGGATACACCCTGGATTGGATGCCAGTTCATCACAGGAAACTCACACCACGGCCAGTTTTCCCCATTTGTGTTTGGAGGAAACTGAAGCACCCAGAGGAAACCCATGCGTACACAGGGAGAACAAGCAAACTTCATGCAGATAGCACCCCAGAAATTGTACCCTAGGCCCCAGCACTGTGTGGCAGCAATGCTAACCAGTGCATCACTATTCAGACCTTCCAACCTAATGAGAGCAAATATTTAATATTTGAATATTAGAATATGTAATATAAAATATAATATGCAAATTCCTTAGATTTTTTATGATTTATATAAAGTTTATATATTTTATTTTATAAACGATGATGAATACAATATCTATTTTTATTATGGTAAGATAAATACTTGAATAGTGAATCTTTTATATGAATCAGCTTATGATACATGTTATAGTGGTCACTAGGGTTTTGGACATTGAAATTTATTTGCCTGTGTGGTTAATTCTTTGACTTTTAGTGGTACTTTACTAGTCAGTGGGAATCAAAAAGACTTCCAGAAGTTGATATTAGTGTCAAACGGCTTTGTGAAACTATCAAATGACCAAGTGCGGAGTTTCATTGTAGATGTAGAAGTAATATACAGGCAATTATTTTTCAGATGTAATTTCTAAATGTTGTAAACTCATTGTGCACTTTTTTTATTTTTTTTTAAATATAAAAAAGGATTTATATTTCCTAAATTCATTTTAATTGCACACTATCAAGGCTATGAATAAATTTCAAGGTACTTATATTAGAAAAAATGTTAATTTCTTTTACTCAAGATAAAATGTAATTTTTTCAGGACTTATCCTTCTATTATTGAGCAATAGCAATACATATAAAACGGCAGACCACCCAAGTCTCCCAAATATTCAGATGATTTTTCCATATCAGAATAATAATATTCTTTCTCATGAACCCCTGGGTCAATAAGTCCCATCTGTGTTCAATAATTTAAAATTTTGAAAATGTAATACAAACTCTCCATAGACAAAGTATATTAAAGAAGATGACTCATTATGCATGAAAAAGAAAGTAGTCTTCAGTAAGAAAGTATCTGAAGAAGAAGCTTGGAACTAGCAAATCTGACATAACAATGAGAAATTGCTTAAATAAAGTTTAATGAATGCAGTCATTGTTAAACAAAACAAACAAAAACAGTATTAGAAATAATATTTGATAAGTCATGGGAGATTTATTTTTTTTAAAGCAGTGAAAACAGTATACAACACATTTTACAAAAAAAGACTACAACATTATCAAAGAGATTGCCATCTTAAGGTGAATGAATTATATTCCTACACAGTAGCTATTAAACCACTTAAATATATAATGTCACACCCTCACATTCTGCAGTTGCCATGGGTAACCATAGCATTCCCACGAGCACTTGCATATCCCAAGCTCGTTAGGTCCAGGTCAGGCCACCCATCTGTGCATCTTCTCCCTTTCAGTCGGGGATCCAATCATTCAATCAATCCTCCAATTAGGCACCACATTTAAGTCTAATAAGGGTCCAAAACCCTACTGGATCAGTGCTCTGACATTGAGCTATGTATAGTAGTGCGATTTCCCACTTGCTTTGGAAACCTGCTTCAGTTTTCAGAAATGTCGCTCTTCTTTGCCTAAATGATTTTTATCCGCAGTCAGCACTGCTTCCAATGGCGGGCATTCCCTGTCAGACTCAATGCGCCAGGCTTTCTGACCGCAGCGGTGCATGACAACCAGTCGTGGTCTAACATACAGTAAGGATAATACAAAAATAGACAGAGTGGCAGACAGAAACATTGGCAAAGAAATACACTTGGGAAATGGAATTTAACATCAATAAGTGCAAAGCGATCCACACATACTGTATAGTAGTAACATATACCACACTTGAGGAAGCAACATGTGAAAAAGAAATGAGTGCTTAAGTAGATGCTTCTGTGTCTTCATCAAAACAAATTTATGAAAGCAACAGAAAAGCAAACAAAGCTTTACTTTGAGTAAGAGCTCATTTAGAATATTGTTTTTAGTTTTGGTCATGATACCACATAGATAGTTTAAAGGAGCAACAGGTAAATTTGTACAGTCACAAAGAAATAAAACTGAGAGGAAGAATACACAAACTGGCATTATTAACAAATGAAGTCCCTCTGAAGACCGATACCAAAAATAACGATAGCATTACAGACCAAACACATATTTGGCCTCATACTGGTGTTTAATTCTGAAAGTTCTACTCTGGCAGTTGCTTACCACGGGAACAAGAACAGCTATGAATGACACTTCCTATTTTACTAATGCTTCAGCTTTAACTTCAATAATTGCAGTTCTTAAAATATTCATTTGCATATTCAGCTATCATTAAAATTTACAACCCATAACAATTTTCAGATGTGGCATGGTATCTTTAAACACATGGGAACTGACTGCTAAACTGACTGTTGTATTTTTCTATAGAGAGGCCTTTATTAAATGTATTAAATAAAATCTGATAACTCTAAGGCGGCTAGTCTGTATTTCCTTTGATTTTAATAGAAAATATTTATATTGTTGAGTTCTCCTCTTACTGAGACTAATGTGAAAAAGCATTTTATTCTTAAAAAAAAATCCTGAGTACATAAGCACTTTCTGCAATGTTGTTGAGAATGTAAATATCAAAATTGTTTTTGTCTTTGTAAATATTGCAGAAAAAGTTAAGAATGAACTCTTGACAAACCACAGCGGTGAACAAGTAAATACTTAATTGAATGAAATTCTGTAAAACCAGTCTGCAGATTTTAATTGGGATAGTCACATAATTAACTGCTACCTTCTTGTTGTCCATGCTATGAAATATGAATTTCATATAGCAGAGTAAAACAGAGTAAACAGAGTCTTCCTACTCATTATTAAAACTACCAGATAGAGAAATGCTGGTATGTTCTTTTAGTGAATTTTCTTTATCCTGCTGCTGTTCATTAGACACTGCAAAAGGCTCAGTTCATTTAAGTGAGATAGGATTTCTAATCTTGGATCAGATATAATGCACCCTTACTTGAAGCCTTGAAGA